ACTAGTGTCTCAATATATTCATCAATGATACCCAAGGCATTACTAATAGAGAGAGAGAGTCCATTAGTACCTACTAGTGGTGAAGGTATCTCTACTTTATTGAAGGATGGATTGGCTGCTTTAGACTGACCTTCTTCACTTGTTGATCGTTTCCCTTTAACAATTAAATAATAAACTCACCACAGGCTCACTGTATACAGAGAGAGAGAGAGACTCACTTTAACTAGCGTAAGATACTCTGCAATGGCAGTTCTTGCTGACTGACTCAGTTTCCTAGCCTGAGGGTCACAGACCCAGCAATGGACTCCTCTCCTTCCGCTGTAAACCCAAAGACGATGGGAAAAACCAAAGTCCTCTACAATAAATTAATAATTAAAAAGAACCTTTCAATTAATAATCAGTTACCACTGAGGGCCCTGTCAATGATTTTGATGGCAATTTTGACAAACGTCCAACAATTGTGACAAATATTAGCATCACTAAAATAAATAAATAAAATAGTATTACACACATATCAATTCCCTTATGCTGTGTAGAAAGTTTGAGCTGATTCCGATTAAGTTTGGATTTTTTATGATTTTTTAAAAGTTGCTCAAAAATCGGACAAAAGTCCCTGTACTATAGTACAGGGATTTTTCTAAAATTTCACAAAAATCCACAAGTAGAAAATTCCTGAATTTTATTACATTTTCTGATGCATATACATGTACTTATGTTGTGTAGAAAGTTTGAGCTGATTCCAATCAAGTTTGGATTTTTTATGATTTTTTTAAAGTTGCTCAAAAATCGGACAAAAGTCCCTGTATTATAGTACAGGGATTTTTCTAAAATTTCACAAAAATTGACAAGTAGAAAATTCCTCAATTTTATTACATTTTCTGATGCATATACATGTACTTATGTTGTGTAGAAAGTTTGAGCTGATTCCGATCAAGTTTGGATTTTTTATGATTTTTTAAAGTTGCTCAAAAATCGGACAAAAGTCCCTGTACTATAGTACAGGGATTTTTCTAAAATTTCACAAAAATTCACAAGTAAAATATTTCTCAATTTTATTACATTTTCTGATGCATATACATGTACTTATGCTGTGTAGAAAGTTTGAGCTGATTCCGATCAAGTTTGGATTTTTTATGATTTTTTTAAAGTTGCTCAAAAATCGGACAAAAGTCCCTGTACTATAGTACAGGGATTTTTCTAAAATTTCACAAAAATCCACAAGTAAAATATTTCTCAATTTTATTACATTTTCTGATGCATATACATGTACTTATGATGTGTAGAAAGTTTCAGCTGATTCCGATCAAGTTTGGATTTTTTATGATTTTTAAAAGTTGCTCAAAAATCGGACAAAAGTCCCTGTACTATAGTACAGGGATTTTTCCAAAATTTTACAAAAATTCACAAGTAAAATATTTCTCAATTTTATTACGTTTTCTAAATCATATACATGTACTTATGTTGTGTAGAAAGTTTGAGTTGATTCTGACTTCAGTTTTTCAACTTACGGCCATTTTAAGAAAATGGCAAAATTCAGAGAAATACCCAAGGCTATAGCCCATGGTTTTTTTCCAAAAATGGCTCCGAAATCACCCCAAATTTTTATTACATTTTCTGA